TTTTTATTGCATATAGTTTTTATTTATTATTATTTAGTTATTATTTTACATTGTTTATTTTATTTTATTTTTTTGTATATACGGTGTGAATGTGTTCATTTATCAATATAATTATTGTCCCTGTGACAGAATATTATATGTCTAAATAAAAAAAAAAAGTATATTTATTACATTTGAATTTCACTTTAGCTATCCAGAAAAAGAAAAATATACAGGGTTAAAAATACTATTATCTTCATAACTTATCCAAACTCTTTTTTTCTGAGTGTAAGCGCATCACAGCTCGCTTTTATCTATAACCATCCATAAACTAAAAAAAAAAATTATTCGGGTACAGTTCGGGTACCTCAGATGCCCATGCACTAGATTAGGAGTCTACAAACGTTTTGGTCCAGGGGACACCTTGAGACTTAAACTAAGTTCAGCCTGCCATGGCTTGAGATGAAATAAAAATCTTGTTCAGCTGTGAAATGAGCTTTTTAAGATAAAAAAAAACTAAGGTGTGTGCTTTAGGCCACACGATAGAAGTGAAAACATTAAAAAGCCTAGAATAATAATATGAAATATAAATTATAAATAACTAGATGGCCCGTGGGGAAAACTTTGTTTAGTGATGAAATAGCAAAACAATATGGAAATAATTAGTTCTTATGTATTATGTAAGGAAGGAATTAATATTTTTTCCTTGGTCGATTACAATATTCTATTAAACATAACAGATAAAAATATTTGTACAAAGTGCTTTGTAATGACCTATTTTTAAACGATGACTGGAAATATAATAAAAGTAATAAAGACAAAATAATGTCCAGATCATTGGATTGTATAAATTATTAAAAATAAATAAAATGTAAGAAAAACCAAATGTCTTTAAGAAATAATAGAATTATATATCAACCAGGAAAAAAATTATAGTAGACCATTCTACTCCTAAATGCAATATCTTTAAACCGGAAGACATTATTATGTATATCAAAACTAATGGACTGTATCTTTGTTAATAATTGTTCGATGTTTAAGATTTTTTTTTTGTAGGTAATTTAGTAATCTTTCTAATTATCATGGGTACAATCAAGAAGAAAAAAAATGCATACTTTTTGATTTATTCTCAAATAAAGTTTCATAAATTTTTTTCCAGAAATTTCGGAGGGAAAGGACTATTTTTCGCATGTGAAGGAGAAGAATATGTTCAAAATGAGTGGTCAATCATTGGATTTGATGAAGAATCGACGATGTTATGGCGTACCGACTAAAAAATACATGTTAGAAATAATATGTAGGATAGCACATTATTAAGAGAATGAAGTGCTGAACACTTTCCTCGCTTACCATATGCAGGTAAGATTTTTAGTTTCTGAGATATTTTGGTCCATATCTTCTATAAAACTCGAATATACAAAAACACTTCAATTAGTCGATTCCAGCCAACTTTATCCGAGCTGTGCACACATGAGATCTGATGCTTAAATTTAATTCACCTCCACAAAAAAAGAGCAAATCGCGCCTAAAGAGGATTTCACTTAAAAAAGAATATTGATCTCAAACTGACGCATGAAATATAAGAAAAACAAAACCATGCAATGAATATTGTAATATCCTCGTGTGTGAGTGATTTGCTAAATTTCATATTTTTAATAAACAACAAATAAGAAGGCTAAATGTGTTCATTCATGCCGTATATAAATATAATAGAGAAGTAAAAAATAAATAAATGAATGAATAAATAAAAATAAATGAGTAAATTAAGAAAAAGTAAATATAAAAACAGAATAAAATATATAAATAATACATAAACGAAATAAGAAATAAATCTTCTTAACACATTCATTCCGATGTACAATATTAACATTCGCCCAGGGAACTCCGAGCCAAGCTTAGTCCTCCAAAAGTGAAAGACAAAGCAGGACTCCAGGAGATTCCATTGCCTCTCTTCCAGCCGCGTAACTGGTAAGCCAGTGGAGACTGAAGAAGGGCAATAGAGCCGGAAATGCTTAGGACTTCAGTGAAGAAGCTGGCCATTGCCTAGACTCCAGAAGCATATTTACAAAAGATCTCTGGGAGAGTCAAATGAAACGTGAGGTTTTTGCAATAGAAATGTGCCAATAAAATTACTTCTATGTATATTTTTGAGAATAGAATTCGAGAATTGACTACAATAAAATTGATGCTGCATAGTAATTTCCCAAGTCCCCTACATAACTCCAATTTTAACAAAAACGAACGAGCTCTTTTGGAACGTCATGGCTATACGACAATTTTTGTGGTCTGTAATCGAAGTTATTAGATGGAATTTGATTAAATTGATGAACTAAACCACACAATTTCTTAAAATTCCTTAAAAATTTTATTAACATCAGACAGACACAGAACCAATTTTGTTCAATTGGTTTTTAAAATATAAAATCGAAGAAGAAAATTCCGATTGTGAGAATTAAAAAATGTTAACCCCCCACTCAAATACAAACTTGCCCTATTTCGATATGGAGGAAGTTAAAATAAAAAAACAAAATTTCAATATAATCAAAATTTAATTTTCACTTAAAATATCTCTTCTCCTCTAATGAAGGTAGGAGGCTTTGTATTCATCCTGAAGGTTGATTAATTAATTTAAATTTAAAATGTGATCGTTTTTAAAGTACTAGGTAAAAGAAATTTAATCTGTTGATGATCTTAAATTGGCTTGTACCACAATCGGTGCCAATAAAATGTAAAAATCATTCATCTTTGAAATGCGAAGTACACGATTTCAATTTAATGAAATGAAATGATTATTAATTTTAGAGTCATTTATCTACTGCAAATTGAACACACTACTAAGTTTTATACTTTACAATAAACAGAAAAAATAGCAAATTCCAGTTAAACCAAAAAAAAATGTATACGTTCTCAATAGTAATTCCCACACACATAAGCGTAAAATAGTGAAATCATGTACTGTAATTTTTTAACTAAACTATTTAATTATTTTGTTATATCATTAACTACGTACATTTATATCAACAAAATTATGAAAATTTGAAACATTTGTTTTTTTTTGTGATAGGGAGAAACTGTTTATAGACAAAAGGCTCATAACAGATAGAATTAATTGAAATAACTAACGTTTGTGTAAAAAATGAACTTGTACCACTAAATTTTATTACCACTTATATATATAAACTTATATATATACACTTATATATATAAACTTATATATATATAAACTTATATATATATATATATATATATATATATATATATATATATATATATATATATACACTTATATATATACCACATATATAAAGTGAAAACATAAAATCCCATTAAAGTTCTTTTTTCACTTACTTAAACGTTGGTGGAAAAAATACAATATTAAATCCATTTAATCGGAAATAATTTAAGTGGTACAAGTTCATTTTTTACAAGTTAGTTATTTCAATTAATTCTATCTGTTATGATGCTTTTGTCTATAAACAGTTTCTCCATACCACAAAAGAAATCTTTAAAATTTTCATTATTTCGTTGATATAAATGTACGTAATTTTTTCTGTTTATTGTAAAGTAAAACACTTTTAGTAGATAAATTTCTCTAATATTGATAATCATTTCATTTCATTAAATTGAGATCTTGTATTTCGTATTTCAAAGATGCATGATTTTTACATTTTGTTGGTTTTGTAGATTGTGGTCCAAGTCTATTTAAATCATCAAAAGATTAAATTTCTTTTCTCTAGTACTTTAGAAAAGATCACTAATTAATTAACCTACGTTCATTAGAGGAGAAGAGAGATATTTGAAGTTAAAATTAAATTTTACTTATATTGAAATTTTGTTTTTTTATTTTTACTTCCTCCATACCGAAATTAACATTTTTTAATCCTCATAATCGAAAATTGCCTCTCCCATTTCATATTTTAAATATAAAGTGAATAAAATTTGTTTTGTGTCTGTCTATGTAGTTTAATCCATACTACGGTCATATTTACTGATGTTAATCAAATTTTCATGAAATTTTAAGAAATTGTGTGGGTTAGTTCATCAATTTAATCGAGCTTCATCTAATAATTTCGCTTACAGACCGTAAAGGTATACCTAAGATGTTCAAAAAGAGCTCGTTCGTTTGCCTTAAAATTGGAGTAATGTTGAGGACTTGGGAAATTACGATGCTGCATCAATTACAGAATTCCATTCTCGAATTCTATACTCAAAAATATACATAAAAGTAATTTTATTGGTACACTTCTGTTGCAAAAACCTCACGTTTGATTTGACTCACTCAGAGATCTTTTGTAAATATTCTTCTGGAGACCTGGTAATGGCCAGCTTCTCCACTCAAGTCCTGAACATGTCTGGCTCTAGTGCCCCCCTTCAGTTTTCACTGGCTTACCAGTAACGCGGCTGGAAGAGAGGCAATGGGATCTACTGGAGTCCTGCTTTGTCTTTCACTTTTGGAGGACAAAGCTTGGTTCGGAGTTCCCTGGGCGAATGTAAATATTGAACATAGAAATGAATGTGTCAAGAAGATTTATTTTAAAGGAAGGAGATGGTCCAGGGTGGCGGTCATAAATAGGCTAAATAGTGGTTAAAACTATTTTATTAAAAACCAACGTTTCGACCCGACTTTGCAGGTCTTCTTCAGCTAGGAGTTTCACTTAGAACTATAGTTTATAGTTTATACAACTATAGTTTTTACCACTATTTAGCCTATTTATGACCATCACCCCGGACCATCTCCTTCCTTTATAATGCAACGCGTCAACTATTAAATATTCAAGATTTATTTTTATTTTTTTTTTTTTTCTTATTTTGCTTATGTATTATTTATATATGTTATTCTTTTTTTATAATTACTTTTCCTAAGTTTACTTATTTATTTTTATTTAGGAAAGCGAAAAAAGAACTTTAATGGAATTTTATGTTTTCACTTTATATATATATATATATATATATATATATATATATATATATATATATATATATATAAAGATCGTAATATGACGTTGGAAAGCCAAATAGGATTAGGCTAACATAAAAGGTTCTTTTCCTCTATCCCGATAACCTAATTGATACCAAAGAAGAGAAGAGTGGAGCCCATCAAGTCGACGTCCTGATGGGATTAAGCCTCTGATAGGGTTTGGTACATATTGGACCAGAGATGACCTAACCTGTAGGTAACCGTTGGGTGGAGTGCAACCTGTAGGTCAATACCATTAACCTAATGGACTACATTATCCACTTTAGTGAATGGAATAGATTGCAATTTAGTATTCCTATAGCAATAGTAATCAATTTGGACAATTTTTAAAGTGAAATATTTAATTTAAAAATTTAACCGCAGTATAAATAATACATAATGACATATTCATCTATGACGGAAAAACTAAATAAAGCTATGTAAGTTCCAAAGAATACAGCGATTTTGGTAACCTCAAATGAGGTTGAGTTGTCACTCTCGGATATGTGAAGCTCATTCGATTAAAGTCGGCTGTAGTCGACTAATTTAATTGTTTTTACCTTTGGATTAAAATATCTCAGAAACTAAATACCGGACCTGCAAACTGTAAGGGAATGAAATGTTCAGAATTTCATCTTCTTTGTTATCAGCTATTATTCAAAATTGTATCTTAACGTGACGCATTGTTAGAGATGCAAAAAGGAAAAGAAATATTGGCGAAAACCAAACGATAACCAGTTTTGTTGAACATATGGATTAAAATAATTCAAAAACTAAAAATCGGATCTGTATACTGTAAGCGAGGGAAATGTTCATCATTTCATCGTCATTGTTCTGAGCTATAGTTATAAATTTTATCTTAACGCGACGCCGTGTTAAAGGGAAGAAAAATCATATTATTAATTTCGCCATGTTGTTTTCATTTCTATAATGTGGTCTAATGCACGCAACATAATTTTATTGTTTTTTAATACAATATTATTTTCGTAATTCAACAACTAAGTATTAACTTGAATGGGAACATTTTAAATAATCAATAGAATAACTGTTATGTTTTGGAATACTTTCTATATCAGTTGACTGACAGCCAATATCCAATTCTTTCAGAGGGAAATTACAATTCTATTATATCAATTCTCTCGTGTCATTGACTGTGCTATTTTGTTCTCAGATATTTTATTCAATTTATTTATTTATTTATTGTACACCGATAAAAGAATTACTATTTTTTTTGTATTCAATACGTCATTCCCTATTTCTTCATTAAACCAGTCAAAGATAAAGTAGGAGTGACAATAACCATATGTGGTGATAAATTATCATTATAACATTTCAAGCATAATGAATTTGAATTTGATGAATTGCATGAGTATCTTTTACGCCTCCTATGGGTGCTATTAGGCATGTTCGTTGTGACCAATTAGGCATGTCGAATTATTGAGTTGGTATGCCCGTGTAAGTTATTGTAAAATATTTTGTAGTATGTTCGTTAACAGTTGGCATCTGCAGGTCTTTATGTAAAGTAATGTTACTGACGTACATCACAGTAAAGTCTGTAATTTACGTATGTAAGTCTTTTGGGCTGCTCCCTGTATCTGTGAAGCGTAGTTCCAAAAGGTCTTAAGTAAGTAAGTCTATGTATTCAATTTTTGATTGTTTTAATTTCGAATGTCATGATAGGAGTGAATATGACAGTCGTAGTTTTTGGTTTAGTGTTCTTGATATGTGAGGCCCCATGTCTTTCTTCTATCGATATCCAGTCGGTCCAAGATATTGAATTTTATTTATCTGATGAATTTGGACATTGTCTAGATAAATAGGATACATAAATAAATCAATTAAAAAATATATAAACCTTTTTATGTGTTTAATCCACCCATTAAAGAGTATGTAACGATTTATCGAGCAAACGGCTGAACCAATTTTTAAGTTTGATGTTAAATTATTCATTATTCATTCAGATTGAGTGGAACAATTGGAGCACAAAATACGGATAAATTATTGTATAAAATGTGCTTGTCTTTTTTGAGGGATTGTTCTGACCAACTTTTAAGCATGATGTAACGTGGATTAAGGTTAATATAACGTGGCCTGATATCTTATTTAATATGATATGGCTCACCTCATAAATTAATAATTCTGAACTTAGTCTGTGAAAATAAATAATCTTAATTATAACCTAATTTTAAATTATTATTCTTATATTATCTACTAAAATAGTTATACTTTATGGTTGTGCTCTCCACAAATTGGAGCTCTAGACTCATCCATTGAAAAACCTGATCCAACTTATAACTGGGTTACCCAAGTAAAGATGATTGTGGCGGAACTTGGATGTCAGGGGCTGTTTTATTGTGTTTTCTCTCAAGGTCTGATGAGGTTCAAAGATGAAATCATGGAAAAAATAAGAAACCATCACGCATCCAAGGACATCGACAGAATGTTAAACTCTAAATCAAACCCAAGATATAAGAAAATCTGCTCCTTTAATGTTACCAGACCAGAGGATTATCTTCAGTTCAGGGCTCTGAACTTAAACAAGTTAAGAGCCGTTAGTCGTCTCAGAGTAGCAAATAAGGATTTTATGAAAATATACTTAAAAGATGCTACTTTGACTATTAAATCCAGTGAGGTATGTGGTGCATGCAACTGCCTTGTAACTGACCCGGTAACTCATTTTCTGATCCAATGTATCAAGTTCAACGAGCCGAGAAATAAGTACTTGAAGGCATTTATCACTGAATCCAGAGAAGATGCTAGTGTGGAGGAGATACTGAAAATAGACACTACGAAAAAAATAAACCAACTGTATTATTTCATACAGGGCTGTTCATTGAACTGTTAAGTGGTAAAGTTAATCATATAACATATATTAATTCTTATTTATATTGTCATTTGTCTTATACCTCTCGAATATTTAAAAAAATAAAATAAAAAAAAAAATGTTTTACTAATTGTTATGTATATATATATATATATATATATATATATATATATATATATATATATATATATATATATATATATATCGTTTACTAATCTGTTATTATATTAGTCATACTTAATGCTGTGGACATTGTTAATGTTATGTTTGAATGCAGTACTAGACTCAAGATCTAACATGGTTAATTATACCATTATATTCATTTGTATAGGAATTTCCTTAGACAAATAAAATAAACTATCTATCTATTTATCTCCTATCTATCAAATTGTTTTTTGTCTCATAAAAAAAAAATAATAATAAAATTCTTGCCATTAGGTTGAACCAAATTTTCATTACTATAATGAAATAAATCCTATAAGCAATTTACGATGCTATAATTTAAAATTTCCTAGCTCAAATAATTTATTTGTTAGTAATCGCATTTATCCAATCTAAAAATGTGGCAACTTTAAAAAACCGAGCAATTGTACATAGGTATGCCTTCGCTTATCTTTAAGTTGATTTTATTTTTATTTATTATATATTATTTTTTATTATTATTTAGTTACTATTTTACTTTATTTATTTTTATTTCTGTAAATATGGTGTGAATGGAATAATTTCTAACTGTAAGCAACACTTATGCTGTGACGTAGTGGATTGTTATATAAAAGAAAAAAATCTATATAAATTTATTCCTTCTCCATTTTAGAATGGACAATAGCTCAATTGTAATTTTCAGTTCTATTTGATATCTGTTATCACTTCATTTTATTTTGAATATAATTTACGTTATGCCCCGTATAGTAAGGAGACAAAGAGGGATATTTCATTCATGAACTCCCCCAGTGAGCTGTGAACAAAGAATAGCTGCAATGTGTACTGACCCTCCAACTGCCTCATTCATTTTTATAAAACCACTGCTTTATGTATAATGGATGGGAGGGGGGACTGGAGTGGGGGGGAGGGTGAAAGAACCGAGCCCTGAGGGACACTTACCCAAAATGGAATTTATAACGGCCTACTATAGCTAGTAGTACAGCGAAGTAGCAGAGGAATTTTCGTTCTTGATCGACCAGAATATTATTTTATAACCAAATATAATATAAACAAAAACTTAATAATTTTAATTTGTTTATTATATCATAATAATTACATGGTAAGTTATCTATAAATATACATAGATTTCAATTGCTACCAAAAAATTTCGTAAAGAATATGGTTCGATACACACAGACTATGATATGTGTATTATGAATGGCCATTGATAATCGATATTATCAATACAACAGTATTTACCTCCGATATTCCATATTTTATGATCGATAGTATTTACTTCGATATTATCGACAATTGATATGGACATACTCATCACAAATATACGGTATCGCTAAAAAGTCCCACCTACAAAAACTTCGAACGTTCCAATCAAAATTATTGCAACTCATAACAAATGCACCTTGGTACATGACTAACAAAACTCTACATACTGATCTCCACTTTCCAACAGTTGACCAACATATAACGACCCTATATCAACGATTTTAAACAAATTTAAATGGACCTAATAACAGACTTATAAGAGACATGGCCACAACTGACATACCTCAGAACATGAGCAGGAGACTAAAAAGGCGTTGGATGAGGGATCTCCTTCCTTAGACAACCTAAGTAATTGGAACAAGTTAGGGAAGAGGTTCTGCTGGGTACTTTCCTTCCCCAGGCCTGTCATGTCATTATATCATTATCGCCATCACATTTGCTGATTGTCAACTTATTGTTGACAGGCGCAAATACATATTTCATAGACAAAAAAAAAAAAAAAAATTAAATTTAGAATAACACGCACTTTTTCTGTAACTATGTGGTGATTAAAATTGTATTTTAGAAACACAAAATACTTTGTATTTTAAAATACATTTTTAACCAGGTCTGGTCGATAGTTGGTTGTAAGTAGATACGTAGAGTTCTGTAATTCGTTATCAGGGAAAGTCTGCTATTAGCTTTAAAATTTGGTATAGAAAATACTGAAATTTTTACTGAAACATAAATCTATGACGCATATGTGCATATAGGTGTATATATATATACATTGTGTATGAATCCAAAGATGTATGAAAAAAGAGGGCAAAGTAAGCGCAAGAGTGATGGACATAGTTGAGAAAATGTTTGTCTTTCTTGGATAGGCCTCCTTAATTATTATAGTTATAAACTTCTCCGTTGGACATTTAGAATCTCTAGGGTCACCTTTTTCTATTTGACACTTCAAAATTGAAAAAAAGAAAATATTTCATTAAATTTTTAAAACTTTTTCTATTTAATACTTTGACATTAAAAAAAAATATTTAGTTATGCAGGTATAATCTCCATTTAAAAAAACACCTTTTTGCACTAGTTGTGGACACCTCGAAATTTAATTGTTCTAATAATAGGGGGTCGGTACCAGTAATAGACATACCTCGAAAAATTCTAAAAACTTTATTTAACTATAAAAATAACATAACATAAATGTTCAACTTACTCTTAGCAAAACTGTCAGTAGGAAGTTATGAAACTCACTGATCTCAAGACCACTATCGAAACAACAATGATAGGCATTTTAAAATTTTCTTTTGGGAACTTTATTCATATAGTTCTCATTGATATTCAGTCTAGAAAAGACTGGAACCTTTAAATCAACAAGGAATCATATTATTTATATTTTAAGTCCAACCTGTCCACTAGCGGATCCAGGATTTTATTTTGGAGGGGGGAGGCTTCAGCCCGATACATTATTTCTTCATATATATAACGATAATTACTTTTTAAAAAATAGAATAAACTAACTACCCATATGAAATAGTGTTTATGTGATACTTGAAGTCCTTAAATTATTAAGAACAATAATAATTTAAGAGATAATGTTTTAATATTTTTCCCATAAAACAGGATTACAGTTTACCATTTTGGGGGGGAGAAGGCTTCACATTGGGGGCGTTACATTGACCGTGGTATGTGTATTGGTATGGGGATGGTCATCGATAAGCGATGTTATCGAAATATCGATATTTATCTTACTATATTCCATATTTTACGATCTACTTCGATATTATCAAATCGATATTTTAATTTTTTTTTTTAAAAAGACCTTTCTCAATCAGTATCCTCAATTTCCTCAAATTTGTTAGTTAGAACTTTCTTGAACCAAGATCAGGAATTGACAAAGAAATCTGTGTAGGATTCAAATAAATTAGTATTTGGCTGAATCCGATCCATGGATGAATGAAAGACAAATTAGATTGAATGGAAATTTATGGAAAAAAGCTGAGGATAACGAAGATGGATAGGAACTAGAAAATTAATTTTACTATGCACGGATACCTCATAGAAAAGACCAGGCAACCAAAATGTGAGACAGGCAACGTGCAACTGATGATTGATCACATTTTAGAATATTATCCGATATATGACAATTATATTCATTTTTTTTTTAAATTATTTATTATGATATTTACAACCGTATAAAAAAAACACTTCTGGTAAATTTGTAAAATGGATATAATTACATGAAATACTTGTTGAGAAACTACACGCTGGTAGCACTGAGATGTCTACATTAGGAGATCACGGGGCCATCTTCTTTTCAGACGCCTCGGAGGGTTATCAGGTATTGAAGAGGAATGTTAGAAACGAGAGGGTTCGGATGGTTTTGAAATTTATTATGGAAGGATAGGTATCTGGATTGGGCCAAATCTGAAGCATAAGGAACATTAAGGAACATTAAGGTCATTATTGATTATTTTAATTGTAACAAAGTAAGAAGCATTGACGATTTTATGAAGGATTTGGTACGAGAGGGATTCGATGGCTTAGTGGAGCCCCATAGCTCAACTCCGTAAGTCCAAAAAGGTCTTATTATAGCCATGTATATGAGTCTTTTGTAATTAATTGGAAGGTTAGAGCGTTTGTCTAGTAAGTTCTGAAGTTGTCGGAAATGCCGAGCGGTTTCTTGTCGTTTCAGTCTGGTATGTGGATTCCAATTGAGACGTTTGTCCAGGCGAAGTCCAATGCAACGAATTTGTTCAACAAGGATAAGTGAGGTATTGTTAAAGGATACTGTAGGACAGGAAGTCATTGGTTTACGGCTATGAGTAAAGGTAATTTGATGGCATTGATTTTAATTATCCAATTTTTGACACCATTCTTCAAGGTTAGTGATGTGTAATTGAAGAGTTTAGGATGCAATTAATGGGTGTTGGGACATTCAAAATTTAAACATAGAAAGAAAAAAATCCTAGGAATATTGGATGATAACTGTATCGAAATACAAATAATAATTGAATTTGTCAAGAAAAATAACTTGTTTCATAAAATAAGAAAAGAGAAAAGTAAAAAAAAAACACAGACCTAAACAGTTGAGTATCCACAAGAACTAATCTTCTAAAGTGTTGTATGAAGTATATAGATATATTATCACAAACTAATATAGGGGACAATACAAGCAGAAAATATTAGCGTGTACAATTGTTAAGTTACAGTGGCATCTTAACAATTGCGTACAATCTACTCAATACTTAACAGTTAAAATTCGCGCTCACGAACTAATAGACCTTGAATTTTAAATGAACTGAGACAAAAATAGGAAACAGGATTTACCAGTATATGACGATAACTCTTTTCTTTTTAATAATAAATGTAAGTGGGACCGAAGTGCATATATGAATAGTCAACAAAATATATAATTAAAATGCCAATAGACGGAGTAATCTGTTTTTACGTTAACAATGAGTTGAAAAAATATTACTTAAGTATATTTATTTATTATAGTTTCAAGCTGACCTTGACTTATATCGTTCCACTGACTGACTGACGAAGAGGCCAACGGAAAACCGTTATACCACGGTAGTGGGAGTAGTGGAGGAAAAACCAACAGTTGTCTACTAATTGATTAAGAACGCTGCTACAAGAAGCCGGAGTAGAGTACAGTTGCATCATACTCCGCTAGCTCCACGCCGGGACTTTCCAGGATCAAAAGAAACGACCAACAGGAAAGATCGGCCGAAGTGGAGTGAGGTCAGCAAGAGGGTCGAGAACCAACTCCCGCCTATCATGGGCGAGTAGCGAAAAATATAACCAACCAAGTTCTGATATATTTAATAGAAATATTATTTTAGTTTTTAGTATATTTTAAGAAGTTCTCGAGTCTAGTGGCGCCGCACAGTGATCTAAGAAATCCATGACGAAAATCCATATTTCCAAGGTGATATGATAATTCAAATTTCTTTAAGTTTTTTAATGTGAATCATAATTAATAGTCAGTTGCGCAGACTACTTTTTATCAAATTATTTAAATTAACTTAAAACTTATTAAATAGCTTAATCTCATCGTAACCTACAAATATTTTACTAACGAAAATTCTCGTTATGGGGCGTTTTCAATCTAGAGATCGGTAAACTTTTATGCATATGTTTTATAGCAGTTAATACTTCCTTGAATAAGGAATTAAAATAAACTAAAACCGTTTCGGTATGAACAATCTCTATTATTTCTTTACCAATAGATAAAATATATTTTATAAGTAATAAGTTGTAAAAATGAAAACTATTGTAAGAAGTTATTTGCCGAATCAATTATAAATATCCGTTACCATGAAAATCTTGAAAACCAGTTATATTCGAACCTAAACCCCTGGAATGTATGAATTATAGTCCGAGGTACATTCCCCTGGGCTAAATTATTAACATCTGCCTATAACTTCGTAAATAGCTTAATATTATCTTAACTTACAAATATTTTATTTATGAAAAATCTCAGAATTGGGGCGTTTTCAGTCTGAAGATCGGCAAACTTCGTCTATTTAATTAGGTACTAAAAACTCATGAGCTCCCATTTTCTTTTTACTTGAATCGTAAGATCGAGATAAAAGTCAGTTTGTCGTGACCTCCATCCTCAAAATGTCAATATAACAAGGTTATTCTGATATACACTTTTTTTTTTAAATTTTGTGATCATATTATCTTACGATTCAAGTGGAAAGCAAATGACTATTCATGAATTTTTAGTACGTAATCAACTAGACAAAGTTTGCCGACCTCCAGATTGAAAACACCCCAATTTCGAGATTTTTTATAAATTTTTCATGTTATCTGGTTCTTTTCTCAGCTCTGATGAAGGCCTGAACTTCGGGCCGAAACGTAAAATTTTGCTATTTTTTATTTTGACTGATCGCCCTAACCATCGATCAATTCAATTATCTATAATTTCATTATTTCATATGTTTATTAAGTCTAGTACTTTATTTTTATTTTAATGTTAGACATACAACATCAAAATCGTCCAATCCTTTCAGTCCAAAGTCCTCTGAACAATAGTCGATGCTATGTTTTATGTAACCAACCAAACCCTACATCATGACCTTAATATCCCATTTGTCTTTGACCTTATCCCTGAAAATTTTTCCAAATTCCATCAGAACCTTATAAATAATCCATACCCCCTAGCACAATCTCTATCTAGTTTCACTCATCCCTACAATCCTCCTCGAAGGTTGAAGTGGCCCAGAGATCTTTTGAAGTATATATCTTGGAGTTTACCATCAGATTCTAAACTACATGAGTGTATGTGGTTAAAACGCTCTCGCTTAAACTCCACTGGCTTTAGCACCAGTGACGTGGTTGAGAGAGTAGCCCAGGGATCTCCTGGAGTCATGCTTTCTCGTCTATAATTGGAAGGCAAAGAATGGCTTGGGGTTTCCTACCTGATTGTATATATTGTATATAGGTATGCCTGTGTTTTTTTGTTTTTATTTTACTTACATTTAGGTTATTTTATTTTTTTTATTGTACATAGTTTTTGATTATTATTTAGTTATTATTTTACTTTTTTTAATTTTATATTTTCTGTATATTTGGTGTGAATGTGTTCACATTTCACTATAATTATTGTACAGGTGACAGATTATTATATTTCTAAATAAAAAAACAATGATACACAACATTATAATTATTATTTGTCTAACATTATATGCTAGGCAAGTCTATGTTATAAATAAATTTCTATTTTTCATGTTTGTTCTTTTTAGGGGAGCTAAACGTCCCAGAATTAAATTTACTTTCTTCTACTTCATCTTTAAAAAAATAATATCTGGTGTATCCACTCACGCGACTTTCCTACCTATTTCAGAAAAGTTTTTATATAAATACATATGTTCATGAAGAAACAAAAAAGGATTGAACTAGATTAATTTTCCTGAAAATCGATCAAACAAAAGATTTGAGTACGATTTATTTGATAAACTAAAGCAATGTAAAAGGGCCTAAGGAAGATCAGTGTAAACATTTCAATACTCACTAATATTGCTGATCAAAAACTTTTTGCCATAGCTTAGTATTGTCAAAAAATAATTTCTGTTAAATATAGAGGAAATAGTGAAGCTTGTGTGATTCGGGCAACAGATTTCCTTACTTTTACTTAGTCAACTTTATTCTCTCATTCACTCCTTTCTGACACCAGGATATGAACCCGTAATCTTACATTGGAAATTTAATAGCTGTAACTTCGTTAATAGTTGTCCGAAATGATCGATTTTTATATGGCTTTGTAGGGAATTTCATTACCTTTCAAACTACATGCTAAACAATTTTTGTTGTTGTTTTTTCCGCACCTGATTGCAATACTTTCCTTACCTAGTATAGGTAGAAAAGTAATAAGTTAAAAAATGTGAAACAAATAGAATAAGCTGTACCATCGCTGATATTGGTTCGACTCCGATGATTTTTTTTTATTTTGTTGGCATTTTAATTACCTTTCAAAAGTTGTATGAATTTAACGTATAATATATACTTAGAGAGTTAGGCCCCATAACATTTTTCTTTTCTTTATAACTTTTTTTCCTTTATTTTCTGAGGAATTTAGTCCATATACGAAAATTGAAAGGAAAATTGTTAGAACATTATAGGAAAGTTTCATCAAAATCGTTTGAGCCGTTTTTGCCCTACAGTCTATAGAAAAACGTGTTTTTAATTTATTGCGCGCAAGCTATTGCGCATGGAGCACCGAATAGTCAAAACTCTACAAAATAAAAAAAGAAGCAATAAAATCGGTTCAGTAGTTCCCGAAAAAATCTTGGTACAGACAGACAGACCAATGGCTAATAATGTGTTTTTCGGACTCGGGGAGCTCTGAAACGTAAACCGCCGAAAACCGAGCTCCGTCGAAAACCGCATATCGGAAATTTGATCCTATTGCAATACTTTCCTTACCTAGTATAGGTAGGAAAGTAATAAATATATTCCGCCATTCTTGTTGAGAAACGCGTCATGCATGACTCATAATAATGCTAATACGTAAGCAAGAAAAATACTACACAAATATTTTCAAATTCAACAGAGCATATCCTCAAATATTTGGCCAGTGAGTGAGCGCACAACTCTTATTGACTCAACAGAGCCCCCAACTCCCTCAAGGCGGTCAAATTGAACCAGCGGAGGAATTCCGATTTCATTCCGGAATAATTTCTGCGAGGGGCCCTTTTCCCCATTATTTTATCCTATCTCAGAATTCCACCTCTTCGACTCTGGCCCTTCAAGAATGAGAATTATTTCAAGAATAAACTAAGCGTTTTATTGCTTTGTAAAGATACAAAAACAGTTTGAATCGCTAATTAAATAACTGGAAAATGTATTAATTGTATTAACTCTAGTTGAATTATTATTATTAATTAAAAATGGAGCCGTTTATTTTAAAAGTGGCTTAAGTCCATTTGTCAATTATTTCAGATCGCTGGTGGTTTCATTTACAACTTCTGGTTATCTGCCCATAAAGCATTTGAGGTTACTTATATTCCGAGTAAATTTATTTATTTATTTTCCATTAAATTTGCCTCTGCGTTGTAATGCATGTAGCAAATGTGTTGGAGTTTATTCTGTCTTCTTGTAATCTTGATATTCACTTAACTTGCCATCAGAAGATCTCTAGGCCACTGCCTTTTTAGTCGTAGTTGAGGCTCACCTAGGTAACCGGGAGGAAGATAGAGATAGAACGAGTGGATTTGAATGATTGAGAGTAGAAATACGAAATGTTGTGTACTTGTTGTGTATGTAGGATTTTACTTTTGGTATGTTCATGTCTGTGTGAATGGTGTGATTTGAAATAAACCAAGGAGCATTGACGATTTTACGAAGTATTTTGGATTTTGTGGTTTGAATTTTGTTTATGAGAGTGTTTTTTTTTTTTTTTTTTTGCCGAACCCTAAAGTTCTGCTCCGTATGTATTGAGTGGAGATCTGTAGTCCAAAAGATGTGACAGTTGTTTGTATCGTCTGGTCAGTTCTTGTTTTTCTATTTTAGGGTGAATGTTCCAGTTGAGTTTTTGTCCAAGTAAAGTCCGAGATACCGAACATATTTTTAAGGATTTTTGAGGGAACTGGCTTATTGTCACAACAAGACACGAAATCTTCTTCAAGGAGAAGCTAACATGGGGTGACTTGCTGGGATTGATTTTAATTCTCCATTTGTGAAACCATTTTTCAAGGTAGCAGAGGTGAATTTGAAGGGCTATTGAAGCGATAGTAAGATTTTTTTGAGAAGATTGAGAAGATGCCGTAAGATGCCGTATCCTCAGCAAAGCTATTGAGAATGAATTATACGTATAATAAATAATACGTATCCGAGTAAATACGATAATTTTGGATATGTAAATTTTCAGAGTTATTTAAATAACTGATCCGTTGATTTTGAAAGTGGCCAAAGCTCATTTATACTCGAATCGGAATATGTATTATTGATAACGTCCGAGTACAGTGATGAAGATAATTTTAATTAATTATTATTCAGCAAGCTAACCTCAGTTTTTGACAATTGATTTACGTAAATAATCAGTACATTTAATTAATGCAGTTAAACAAATTTACTCAATATAAATACTTGCAGTTAAGATTTATCTACATTTCTATACAGGGTGTTTCAGGGTTAACTGCAAAAATGAACTAAGGATCTCAAAACAAACGCTTTGTTTAGGAGACATTCGCACCTACAGAATTTTGTTCTTATTAATTATTCAAAAATTTTCTGCCCTAATGATGACCCACATGTTTGGGTTGAAACGTCGGCA